TAATACTCATTCAGTGCCATCCCCAACAACATGCCTAATACCTTGGTAATCGGTGGACTCATAAGCAGCGATGTTATGATCAGTGACATCATGGGACCTGTTCCTTGCACTTGCCAACGGTTTAGAATTACAGCTCTTGGTGCACACAAGTAAAATGATGATGACGACATTCGTCATCATCATCTTCACCAGCACCTTCACTCGCTTCTCACCTCAAACAATTGATAACGACGACGATGTCTCCAGGTCACATCATTTTGTTAATTCTTTCTCTTCTACTGTTGTTTGTCATCATAATTTTCACAATATATATTATCAATTATTATTCTTATTGTTATTATTAATACTGTTATTACTTTTATTATTACTGCTATTTATTTCCTTTCAATGTTTGTTTTTATGTGCAAGTTGTTTTATAGGCAGAATGTCGCAAACGAAGCGAGGTCGAAATCGTCAGTTTGCAATTCATCCACACACTTTGAATGACCACTCGGAGGCTAAGTTCAGAAATTTTTTGTAAGAAACTAAGAAACTATTGTACACACGTGACTATATTATATATATATAAATGTAAGTATATATATATATATATACATATATATATATATATATATATATCTATATTATACGCATATATTTGGGAAAGAGGTTTTCCTTAAAACAAACAAGGTTAAATGTTTTTGTCCATTTGGCATTTATCAAATTTTTAAAAAAGTATTTAAACAGACGCAACGTATATTCATATGTATATATATTATATATATATATATATATTATTTATAATATATATATATGTGTGTGTGTGTGTGTATGTGTGTGTAAATATATAATGTATATAAGGGTGTGTAAGGTATGTAAATTTTGTACCACTTTATATTATCAGATAATTACATCGTTCGTATTCATTATATGGGTACATTTTATGGCGTATATTATGTCATAAATGCATCATGTATGTAACATGCATGTATCATGAATGTATCGTGCTTGTAACATGCATGTATCATGAATGTATCGTGCATGTATCATGCATGTATCATGTATTTATAGCGCGTCGTGTGAGGTTTGATTTTCATTTGTTGAAACTCGCGATTTAGATGGACGCTACGTTACACAACGATGCGTTTAAATAAAGCGCTTCAAATTTATAAACATGCTAATTAACTTTAAATTACTAACTTTCGTCGTTTGTAAACAGACTAGCCGTGCATGAGTTAATTTAAAAAAATGAATATTTTTAATTATTATAGATAGGTATATTAGTTATAAAAAAAATTATTAAAAAGATGAAACTCATTAAAAAGGAGTTTGTAAAAAGTGGTGAATTAAAAAATGTTGTTAAGTACGTCGACATGTTGCGCAAACTTTAAATTTAATTAATAAAGCTTTGATAAGCGCGCCAAACTGAAGTGAAAAGATGAGCGGAGAGGAATGTGTAAATTGTAAACACAAACATAAACATAAGATGAATGCGTCATTCAATATTCTGTTTTATTAGCGTCTTTGTGAATGCTCATATTTTTAATTGATTCGTTTATTTAGGGAGAGGGTTTCACTTTGTTTTCAATTTTGAGGTTTTGAATTTGATTGAAAATTCAAGATCGGATTATCAAAATTTTTTAAACTGAACAGGGCATGAAACCAAGTTTTAAAATTTTAAATCGATCTTAAATAATGTTTGGTTTTTTGTATTTCTCATGTTTCAAAATTTATTGATAAGCATTTTGTTAATGTTTTAATTGCGAGGATTAATATTTACAGCCGCATTTGGCATTTTAGGTCAAGCGTAATGAAAAATACGCTCACGAATTTTTTTTTTCGCAAATAATTAGTGGAGTCAATTACGCGCAACATTTTGTTCGTTGTCTGTGTGAGTAAGGTTCGTTAGTCGCCAATTAATTAACTATAGGCTCTATAAGATATAGGAAAAGTTGGGCTTATTGATTCACTTTGCAAACGTGCATCCAAACAATTTTTGTTCCGTCAACAAATTAGTTTGGACCACCCGGTCATTTTGAATCAAATTTTAATTTTTCAACAGGATTATTTTTTGGAGCATTCGAAAAGTTTCTTTCCACAGCTGTCAGCACTGTGTCATATTTTCATTCAACTCTGCTTTACAATGCTTTCAATTTTATTCATTCAAGAAAAAAAGTGCAGTTAATATGAATTTTGTTCAGTGAATTATTCGAAATCGAAAAAGTCCTTTTTCTGACTTTAATTAATAGACAGCTCAATGGGGTGGAGCCAGTGCCCCTCTGGCCTCTTAGATTCGCCACTGCCCCTTGCAGTTGATCATAATTACTTGAGCAGTGTAATCAGCAGTTGGCGTGATTGGTGCTTTCGTGTTAAAAATTTTATAGAAAGTTAAAAAAGGACTTTTAACTAAGAAATATGGAGGTGTTTGGGGTAAAATATCTGGTGGCAGGTAGCTTATCCTTACGAAAACTTGGCCCATATATCTTGATTCAAAAGTTGTGACCTGGCCTCCCTTCTGTCGTGGAAATTCAATCATACCAAACTAATACAACTAAAATGTGCTGATTTAAAAAAAATAGTATTTCAACAATGATTTTCAACATCCAGATTAAAAATAAATGGGCGAATTATTATTAAAACGACAAATTTATTGAATTGTTGCAAAGATTCAAATTTCAAAATTGAGGAAATATACTGTTTCGTTGTTAATACATCGCAGAAAAATTAGTAATTAAATTTTAATTAATAGCAATAGGTATTTGAACCATAATCAAATCTTTTTTGTGATTTTTATGTAATTTTTTTCCTGAACTTTATAATTTTTTGAATTAAACCATGGAATAAACTTGCATAACTTTGCGATGTTTTTGATTCAATTTCCCTGCCTCCCTGCCCTAAAGAAACAAAGCTTTATTGTTTTTTACTCGGCCGTCAAAACAACCAACAAAACGTCGTTCATTAATCCGACTTGAGCATCTACCATCACGTTAAACGTGTTTCATGTGACATAAAAATGTTTCCGTCCTGTCATACATTCAAAGGAACTTGTAGTTATATATGCGTTATGAGTTATTGAGCATTTACAAGTTACTTATTAAAATGCTAATAAAACAAAATCGTTCACGAGACTGCGTGGTTTGCTGATGTATTGTAGTTTTGGGATTGCCTCGTTTGTCCACTTGATTGGTGTAGCTAATAATTTACGCTGGTGACATTTAAACATTTCTATTTTTCAAAAAAATTTAGAACAATTCAAATAAAATTGAAACGCGTGTATAAAAGGTGCCGCATCGTATTTGTTTGTAATGTTCGGCCGGGTCGGGTAGTGTCGTCATGCTTCGCGTCCTCTCATTTTGTCGATTGAACATTGCATTGTTTCAACTGTTTTTGTCTGCGAACGACATTCTCATTTTATTATTAAATTCTCCTAAATAGAATATTTAGTTTTTCTCTTTCCACTTCACCCCATTTTATAACAGCTTTTATTCGAATAAATTTAAATAACATAACATAGATTTATCTAGTTCTTCTTTTTTTAAGAACAAAGTTTAAAAATGCGACTGGAAATTGGAAACATTTACATCAATCAATATTTTGTTGCCTCTAAATATGCTTTTTTCAAAACTTTTGTAGGAATGTCATTTCTTTCTAACTTTAGGAAACACGCACCATAAAACATGCACGCATTGCAAGCTGTAGAACTTTCACAAAGTACTTAATGAAATCCCAATGTCCATAAATTATTTTTGCAATTCAATGTTATAATGCACGTTATAATAAATGTAGCTTTTGTTTTTTCACTGGATGCCATAGAAACGTTTTCGGATGTTGGAAGACCACCAGGGGATCGTCATCAGTGACAAGAAAGTGAAGTTATTATAATATAAATCGTCCTTCGATGTGCCATTTGAAATCTTAACAGAAAAACTCAGTAACGATGATGCATGCTTAAAAATCTTCTCACCATGCATCCACTCCCATGCCAGCTACAGCACATCATCTCATTAAGTATGCGCCGGAGAGATTGCAAACCAGGAGAGGGTTGGCTCCATTCGAACGCATGAAAAATGACTGCAGTTCGGGCATAAAATTTTCAATTTCATTCTCGTCCGGTCTGTTTTGATTCCAAGTTTGCTTTTAAATAAATAAAATATTCAATAGAATTTACTTCAATGTAGGTTCACATTAATCATCACAATTTGATAAGTTATGTTTCGCGCACACCGACAGACATCAAACAAAACTTTGCAAAAACATTTCTAACTGTAGATAAATTTGTTATAAAAGACAAACTCAACCAAACACAAGAAGGAGCTGAAAGTGGAAGGAGGCCATGATGATGCGCTGAACTTATTAATGGAAAGGTTATCACTGCCGTGGCATCCTCAAATTATTTCTTTCCAATAAATCTTTAGTGCGTGTTTGTGCCCACATTTATTCACTTATTTATGTACAGAATTAAATAGATATAAACCAGATGAAATAAATTTGAGTAATTGAGGAGTTGAGAAGGTTGATGATGATATGCGGTGACGTACAATGTTGATAGCACACTGGCGCCCTTCAATGATTCATTCGTTTTTCTTCATCATTACTTTTTGTCGTCCAATTTTTTGTTCACAAAATTAAAAGTATTAAAAGTCCTTATTAGCATTAAAATTAGAACAAAAATTCAAAATTACATGACATTAACACTGAAACATTAAAACATCCATTTTTTCAATTTTCGTTCAATAGTTTCAACAAGTAGTAATCTAATATTTTTATGGCTGAAAGTTATGTAACTATTGCTCGCTTCCTATAATCCATATTTACGTCGCTTCAGTTCAGTTTCGCTTCGGCTTCGTCCGCCAGACCCGGAAAGTTGAATTCATTTGTTGTGGACCTTGCAAGGACGCGCGAGCACCGCATCAAACGCTGGAGAGATGTGCGTGCATGGCAATCTTCAAGTTTTTTCTACGGACTGTTTTTGATTGAATCGATCTTATAAATGTTCCCGTGAGAAAAATTTCTTCCTACTGATGTTCACAGCTCAGTTCCTGATGTCCTCTTGCTTCTTCACGTTGAAGTTCACGAATCACGAAGATTTGGTGACCTTCAGAAAAAATGAAAAAGTTTGTTTCAAAAGATGGAAACCTCAAAAAATTAGATGATAGAGCATTTTATTTTGTTACCGTGAAGCCACATTCCGAATGGATCTGATAAGCTGCTCAGCATTGTTTTACGATCGCTGTTCAGTAAAATAAATTACTGCTCATAACATGAAGAAGTAATTAATGGACGGGCGTGCATTCGTCGGAGCGTGGAATGAAGTGGAATGAAAAATGTTGTCTACCTTCACGTTTGCACGTTCATCACCACCGAACAGATGGAGTGAACGCTCGAATAAATCATAGAAACTCGAACCGACAGCATTTGTCACACCATCACCAGGCCACATCGTAACCATTAAACCGCCAACCACAAAATATTAAAATTACTTATAAATACGATCAATTTGTAATTTTAATTAATTTTGTTGTTATACTTCAACCAAAAATTGTTCATTTTCAATGTTAAACTGATCATTGAAACCTTTTCACTGGTTGTGTGGACGAGTTGATGTCATTCATTCGCTGCTTTGCTTGACTCTCATTCTTTCCATCTTTCCACTTGCTGAGTGTAATTTCACATTTTAATATTTCATCATCGGCTATATTGTGATATCGCATTCAATATGAAACAACACACACACACACACACACACACACACACACACACACACACACACACACACACACACACACACACACACACACACACACACACACACACATTCAAACATACACACATTCTGCATTCGAATTGGCAGATCAAGCAACTCTTTAGGACATTCTCCGGAAACAACTAAATATGACTTACTAGAACTTCACAAGCTAAATGTGTGTTGAATTTATTTCAGCTTCAAGCAGATTTATCCAATTTTTTAAAGCAAAATTGAGTAAGGAAGGATTTTAAAAAAGTTGACGAAGTTTATGAAGCGAATCGAATGTTTTTGAAGCTGCATTGAAAATCAATTGAAAGGTTTCTGCTTTCCATGTGCTTCGAGATATTAGGAGGCCGAAATGAAAATTTATAAATTTTTTGCTGAAACATTCATGATGTGGTGATGTAATGATGTGATGATGTGATGATGTAATGATGCCATGATATGATGTCATGATGTGATAAAATGTATAAATTGCCAAGCTGTGTGTTGCTCCCTCTGTAGCACGTTATAGCCCAACTATTTTGATTAACTCCACTAAAACTTTTAAAACTATTTTCACATAAACTCAAATTTCGCTATATACATAATCAATTAGAAAAAATTATTTTGAAATCAATTAAATTCTTGCTCGGACAAAGATTTAAATCAATTTGTCTAAAAAAATAAATAAATTCACATAATCACGCGAAACGAAACTGAAGAATGTTGTTAGTGTGGAGAGGATTTAAAAGTGTTGAATGCCTTGGACAACTTCGTGGAAGTGGATTTGGAAGGGAAGGTGGCAGTGGTCCGTTGACGCCCTACTTCCTCGTTTAAATGCCATCCAGCGTATCTCGTCTGAGTTTGTGTGTCCTACAACAACAACAACACAATGACAATAACACAATAACAACCCCAACAACAACCCCAACAACAACTACCACCACAACAACAACAACAACAATGATAAAACAAATAATATAAACAAAATTATTAAAAAAATTCATTATCCAGTGATCAATGGTGAAAAATTTGCTTCAACACTTCTCGCAAAGCTCTAAATTTTTCGAAGTCAGCATGACGCTAAAAGCTGTTGTTTTTGCCGTGATTATTGTTGGTGTAGCGTGTTCATGTTGATGTTGTTTTAATAGTTGTTGTTGCCGATGTTGTTGTGGTTGTTGTTTTTGATGTTGTTGTTTACCTTCCATTTTTTTTCAAAACGTTCAATTAAACGAAATAATCTTTTCAAAGATGAGTGACGCCACATCGAGCAGCGCTTTCTTTAGGAACATTTTTCAGACATTTTTTGACCCATTGATGTAGGGTTGATTGTTTTTAACAGAAAATATAATATAAGTCAGGAATAATAATAAAAAATAACAATAAAAATAATAATTATTATTACTATTATTATATAATAATTATAAATAATTAATATAAACAAATAACAAAAATAAATAAAAAACAACAAACTTGCTGGTTAATTTTTGTTTACAAGTTAGTAAAAATCTAAAACAAGCGCCGGATGTTCCCGCCAACAACAGACCCGCCGAAAAAACCCATCTCATATTCCAAATAAATATAGGGCCCTCCTCGATGGATGTCAGACTCTTTTTGGCAATTTTTAACCCTCTCTCCTGTCACGATCTCCCTCAAGTATTTTTACCCCACGTTGTGACCCACCCTAAACAAAGTTGCCATTCGGTTGATGACGTTTCAAACTTTCCAGGCAACTTCCTCAATACCGCCGATAATAATCATTGACAACGGAACATTAACTACATCCATCGCCGATGAATTCAAATGAAATGAATGAAATTAATTTAAAATAACAGCAGGTACATAACTTCGCGAATAAAATGGGAAGGAGCAAAAAGCAGAGTGACAAAAAAAAAACATTTCTTTGATGCGTTCTGAGAAAAATTTTTGAATATATATATATTTTTTTTAATTTTTGAAAGAATGTAAAAAAAAATGGATGACCCATCACGTAAATTTTCACTGCCATACAAAGTGCTACCAATTTTTTTTGACACTCCTTCCCTCTTAAAAACGTGAACCTCTTTCGTGAGCTGACCCCAATCGAGTTGTCCATAAATAAGGAACTGAAATCAAACATCTGAAACAGTAAAACTGTAAATGCATAACTTCATCCGAAATTTATAATGAGAAATATTGATATTCAGAAATATAATCTTCAATTTTCAATGAAAAAATTCTTTGATATCAACATTTGTGCGTGTCTGTTATTTATTCTTCGAGGAATTTTTAATTTTTTTAGTAAAAATTCTATGAAAAGTTTCAAACATTTTTGTTGCAGACATTCTTGGTGGAAATAAATTCCTTATAATAAATTGCTAGAGAGAAGGAACATCTTTGTGGAGAAATAGATGATGATGGTTTCTGCTATACATTATAAAGTGCACATTGTCGGTGTGTTTGTGCATTTGTGTGTGCGTGTGGGTGGTGTGTGTGTAGTGTGTGTGTGTGTAGTGTGTATGTGGTGTGTGGGTGGTGTGTGGTGTGTAGGTGGTGTGTGAGTTTTTGTTGGTACGCAGTTCACCATCACAGCTACCGACAACAGTTAAGTTGCCGCACAAGCCCTGTGGGCTTCTGGTTTTACTTTAAATAAATAAATAAAACAGTGATGATGACGTCATTATTAATTCATGTTTAGTGATATCATTGCCATCTACAGTCATCTCATCATCATCGTCATACGATAATAATAATAATAATAATAATAATAATAATAATAATAATAATAATAACAATTAATAATAATAATGATGATAATAAACAACAGCAATAATAATAATAATGATTGTCCTCATTCGTCACCTTCGTATATTGATTTTTTACTGCGACATGTTATATATCTTCAAAATAAAATTTTATCATTAATGTCACTACCGTCACCATCATCATTACCACCACCATCATCATTACCATCAACATGATCATCACAATCACCATCATCATCATCATCAGCATTCTCGTCATTTCGACCTCTCCTCCCACTTGCTCCTCCAATATGCTCCTCCAGTTGACTTGCATTGCGACATAACTCTTCTCAACTCGTCAGCTATGAAAGTGAAAGGCCACTGACAACATCATTAGTGGTAGTAGCAGCAGCAGCAGCAGCAACAACAACACCACAACAAAACATCATTAACAACAACAACAACTGCACAACACAACCAACAACACCAACCACATTCATACATCCCCCATTCCAGCTGACTCGAGTTTGGTCCAGTTTAGTGAATAACTACATTTGAACTTTGATGTTGTTGTACATCATGCAATGCCCTTTCAACGACAGTACGAATTTCGTTGATTAAATGAAATAAAATTATGTTTGCAAAATATAATATATTGAGTTGAGTTTTAATTACAAATTAATAACAAATCAAAAATACGAATAATAAGAGCTGATTGACGGAGGGAGCTGTCGGAATGAAACCCCCGTTGCTACCCCCCAACCCCCTCTGGAATGCATCCCCAGCGGGCAGCGGTGCAGCGGTAGGTACTCATATAATGTTGAACGAAATGAATCAAATACATTTTCCTATATATATACATCGTTGACATTTGTGCAAAATTTACGTGCATGCCTTCCGTTCGAATTGTTAGGGACACATCACAAATGGAACCTCCTCATACACCATGGACCAACCACCACACACCAACCACCACACACCAACCACTACACACTACGCACCAACCACCACTCACCAACACCAACCACCACGCACCAACCACCACGCACCAACCACCACACACCAACCACCACACACCACGCAACAACCACCACACACCAACCACCACACACCAACCACCACACACCAACCACCACACACCAACCACCACACACCACACACCAACCACCACACACTACACACCAACCACCACACACCACACACCAACCACCACACACCACACACACAAGCGGCAGGTGAGCGTAACGTACACAATACAGAAAATATATAAATGAATAATTTTAATAACGCAAATACGCACTGGGGCTAATGAATAAACATGTGCGTGCATATGAATGGCGCTTCCATGCTAATTCGTCTGCGGTTATTTGTTCCAGCCGCACAATGGAAAGAAATTTATTGGATTGCAGCGAAGAAATCTTGAAGACAAGTGTTCTACAAACAGACAGCATTAATGCCGATGTTCGTTACAGCATTGCTGCTTGCATGGCCGCCTGGCCGGGCAGGTACTTCGGTGCGTCCTCTTCGTCCCAGTGCAAGTCTCTCTTCCTTCCATACGTCTGTTGCAATTATGTGCTTCAATAAGCTATTCATACGTACACAAAATTGCACTTATCTACCTGTTATCACACACACAAACACAGATACACACATGCATTGGAACGTGCCTCTGGTGAGCAGGCCTGCGTTCATCTCGCTGGATGTTTTTATTCATCTCAACCAAACATTTCAAGAAACATTAAAAAATAACGTGATTGAATGAAATTTTGATGGATTAAAATTATTTCTCAAACGTAGCAACACGTTCGTAATCTTCCAGTTGAAACTGAACATGCATGCAAGCTGTGCTGATGTGCTGATTGGTTGGTTGTTCAGTTGTTGGTGTGTGCTGATTGGTTGTTCAGTTGTAGGATCTGTTGGTGCGTGCTGATTGGTTGGTTGTTCAGTTGTAAGATTTGTCGGGGTCAAGTTCGTTCAGGTATGTCGTGACGACGGACTCGTTAGGGATGTGCTGCATGCAGAGTTCATCCTGCGGCTTCAGATGCAACTTTGACAAGCAGGAAGTGTTCGTCTTCCTCCTGTTGTTTCTGACGCTTGCAGTTGCAGCGTCCGACGGGCACCTCATGAAGTCGTCCTTCGTTTTGTTTTTCGACGTCGACGCCTGATTTGAGCTGGCTGTCGGTTTGTTTCTTCTGTTGGTCATTTTGAAGATGTTGTTGTGGCTGGGTCGGTGGCTGCGGTTGCTGTCGAAGCATCGGCAGTAGAGGTGGATGAATGTCCTCCGAAACTTGACGCTCAGTGATGAGTAGAGGATGAAGTTGCACGAGGCATTCAACATGACGAGCAGGTTGAAGTAGTTCGCCGTTATCATCAACATTATTCTGGTCACCTGTTTTTTTTCAACAAATTTGTTTTGATAAATTTTTATATACAAAAATGAAATTTGTAATCATAAGTTTTGTTACAAAGTTGTTATAAACAAGAAGACTCGACCAACATCATCTTCTATGGTTCATGAACTGTTGTGTAAACAAAACAAGAAATAACATGCAACAAACTGGAAGCATTCAACTGAGCCAGGAGTAAAAATTTATTAATGCAATGCGATGCAGACTGAAGCCACAGGATGAATAATTTGCGAATCTCGCTGTCGCAATAATAAATGCACTTCCTCATCAGAAACGCGATGTCTCAAGAAAAACACGACTGCGAAGTATGAGACGTTACCGCAAAAAAACATTAAAACAGATGAACTACCACACACACACCACACAAACACACCACACACACACACCACACACACACACCACACACACACACCACACACACACACTACACTCACACACACGCACACAGACACCATCACACAGACACACAGGCTAAACATTACCACCACATCACTTGAACCACGAATCCCCAATTGAGAACGATCAAGACCGCCAAATGAGTTCTGCTTGCAAGACCACCACCACACATCAATATGAGAGCAGTCAATTTATAAAATGAATTTCAAGCGATTTCAGTTAATCAACCGAAACAATTAATTGCGCTTATTCGGTTTCAAACCGATAAAATTTTTATCTAAATAGCAAAAAATGAACATCGAGTTTACAAAATATTTGTTCGATTTATTTCGTTTCAAAATTTATTCGCATCACGGCAGAGGAAAATATTGGATGTTAACAATTATGTTAAAAAACTCAACTCTTCTTGTGTTGTCGTTATTTAATTTAAGTAGAAATGAAATTAGATGGCTGGTTGCCGAATGCAGTGCTCAAATAAGGAACTTTTCAAAGTTTAGCTGCAGATCTCAGAAAATATTTTAACATGTTTCAAATGGTGTTGTTATAATTTTAAAGTTATTTCCGCAGACTCAAAACAAATAATTCCCACCGCTGATACAAAAATTCGTTAATGTAGTGCTGTTTGTTTATCTCTGCTTGTTTTATGTGGATGATGCTTGCATGGGTGAGTGAATGAATGAATTCGTTTGTAAGCAACTGTTCAATACATTTTAAAAATAGTTTTCAATTTACAACCGCTTCAGTTTATTTATTTGCACATGAAAATGTTGCATTTTAAAAGTTCACTGCATCACACGAGCAGCCTGACTGACGTATGACGGACTGCGAGTTTCAGACAGGCGGTGTTCGAACTGGAGCAGATCACTACCTACTCAGCAACAGCGTGGGCGGCTTCAACCCCACTGAGCTGCTCGCCGGCAGTTATGAAATGATTATTAACTTTTCTAGAATACTTGGAAAGTTGTTAAAATAAAATTATTATAAAACTATGAATGAAGAATGAAATTAATTTTTTTACGAAAAAATACGAAAATCAGAGCAGGAAAATATTATTTTTATATCAGTTTTTTCTAAGTAAAGCAAGTTTTTCATTGGCAAAAAGCGTCGTCTGAAACATTCAGCACATAATGCCAGTCTGGATCGGTAGCAGTTCATCAGGGACCTCCCTCCCGTGTTTTAGTCATGACTCATTCAAGCTCTTCTTCAAGGTTTAACCACAGTAAACGTTAATATACAAATCTGAACGAAAAAAATGTTAAAATGTTCAGTCGTGAATTTTGAAAGATCTTCTGCTGACGATATTTCAAAAAATTGACAGATGCGGTCATCGATGGGAGTGCAAACAAACGATGAACGGATACGAAAGATCATGTTTTTTTTTTTTGTTTTCGTATGTTTGTTCGTTGTATTTGTTTGTTAATGTTTGTTGTTTGTTTGTTTATGTTTGTTGTTAGTTCGTTGTATTTGTTTGTTTATGTTTGTTGTTTGTTCGTTATATTTGTTTGTTGTTTGTTCGTTGTATTTGTTTGTTTATGTTTGTTTGTTGCATTTGTTTGTTTATGTTTGTTGTTAGTTCGTTGTATTTGTTTGTTTGTTGCATTTGTTTGTTTATGTTTGTTGCTGGTTCGTTGTATTTGTTTGTTTATGTTTGTTGTTTGTTTGTTGTATTTGTTTGTTTATGTTTGTTGCATTTGTTTGTTTATGTTTGTTGTTGGTTCGTTGTATTTGTTTGTTTATGTTTGTTGCTGGTTCGTTGTATTTGTTTGTTTATGTTTGTTTGTTGGTCGTTTGCTGTTGTTAATTATTATAAAATTTAATTAGAATGTTGTAATAACGATATAATAAACGGAAGTAATTTAACCTCGTTATTGAAAATTATTTCGATAGATAATAAAATTGTTTTTTTGGACCATTTGTTTAACTTAAGACAGTTTTTGATCTCAGGATTCTTTTTTATTCGTTTCAAAAATCCTCATTCAAAAATTTAAAGTATGCCAGGTTGTTGGCTGTACGAACTTTTTGTATAACAATTTTTCGTTGAATTTTTCTGTGGTGGTTTCTGAAGAGAAAAGTTTCTCATTAGAAGTGCGTAGCATAAAAAGAAGAGGGAACCTCAACATAACATCAGAGAGAGGTCTGAAGTTGCATTGCAACACTCTGCACTGTTTGGCATTAGCAAAAAAGTTGTTATCATTAGAGAAATTATGATTTGCCCAGCGGTTTGATGTAACGTTACTGCATTCGTGTTTGCCTGATGGTAGGAAATAGTACGAATGATGCGCGATTTATTTAAATATATGGTCCAAATATATTCAACTGATCATGTCAGGTTCAATTCTAGAGCTCACAAGTTTTCGAAATATTTAGTTTAAATAAATAATTTGAAATTCAAAAAGTTTGTTTTTGATTGATGCTTTTTAATATGAAAAAATTGAGTAAAAATTAAAAACTTTTATAGTTAACAGATTTTGAAAAAATGTTAATTTGAAAGTTTTTGCGGCAAACACAAGTCCAACACTTGCAAGCGTTCAATTAATCATTTCCGTTGTGAATTTCAACATTTCAAAAGTCTGCATTCTATTTTAAAATCTGAAACTATTTTTTGAGGTTTTTTTTTATAAACACCTGATGCGTTATCCTATCCATCTTATCTACACGCCTCATCCACCTCATCCATCTCACCCACTTCTTCCATCTCATCCATCTTACCCACTTCATCCATCTCATCCTTCCTATCCACTTTACCAGCAAAGTTTGAAAGCCGCAACTTGAAAGATAAATAATTTATAAAAATTATTTATAGTAAATTTTATTTTGATTTTTTTGTAAAATTTATTTTATATTTGAATGTTAGAGAGTTTTATGATTGGGTCATTGTGAAACAAAACATTGAAACCGTAAATAATGACTAATGAATGCAACATTTTGTTACTCAATAGAAATGAGCCATAAAATAATAATTATAACAATTTTTTTCAATCCATCCATCCAATCAATCAATCAGTCATCATCATCATCATGGTCCTGCTAGCTAGTTTGTCCAACACCCACTACTTGTCCATGTCATGTTTTTGAAATTCTTATTAGCAGCCCGGTTAGGACTGACCACGGCAGGGAAGTGAGCAACAGCAACTGACCTCAGAAGATATGCAGAATTAACATAGAATTTGTTCATACGATTTCTTCGTTTTTGATACAATTTTATGGCCACATTTGTGTGTTTTTTGTATAAATTAAACCTCCTTGCAAGTGTTTTCATTGCTTATACGCATATACAAGGTTTGATAGCAATTAAATGGAACATCACCTTCTTGGCTTCAGTAAAATTCAGTAAAAATTAATGTTTTCACGAAAGTAAACATTTCTATATTCTACGATTCTACAATATATTCTATATTCTACAATTTTATTTTGGAAGTTGGGCTGTGCGGTTCTATCACGTCTTGTCACTGCGAATGTTTGCTACTGCAACGTATGAGAATGTGTTGTTGAGGTGTTGTTGAGGCGTTTCATCATGGGGTGATGCGGCTGGCACTCGTATGCTAGGAGCCTTTGTATGCAGCATATAATATGCAGCATAAAAATGTTTGACAGTTTTTCAATTTTTTCTTACTGACTGTAGAACGATGTATAGAATCTGGAAGAGCGGGAAGCCGGTGCAGACTACATAATTGACATGTTGCCAATCTGTTCGTGAACCGTTCAATTGACTACGACGACCTACATTGAGTCCGTCGCGACACGTTCGTTCGTCGTCTCGTCTTACGTCCACACCACCATCTGAATTTCTTATTGTCGCTTTTTTAGTCCAACATAGAAAGTATAAAAGAATATAATAAAGATTTGAACAATTTTAAAAAATTATATCATTTTAACAAAAATATATGTGAATTAAAAAATTTAATTACTTTTTTTGAACAAATTTTAACTACAAAAAAACGTGAAATTGAAAATAAATCTTTAAACAGCGCAATGAAATAAACATCTTAAAATTGGATTTATATTTTAAATTAAAATGTAAATAACTTTTTGAATGATTTAATAAAATACTAAAATTTTACTTAAAAATATTAAAAAGCATTATTAAATATTAAATAAAATATTAAAATATATAAAAGTTAAAATAACAAAAAAATTAAAAAACCGATCTAAAAAATGTAAAAGTAAAGAAGTTTAAAAATCGCATAAAGTTTACCATCTCAAAATTGGAGACTTGAGACGTGCGGTTGGTTTATAGACATGTCTAGTAGATAAGCCGAGTTCAGTAATACGCCCATGTGTATATTTATAGGTTCATTAAGTGCCAATTTGAAATATGGTGATAAAATTTAAAGAAAAAATATTTTAGAGTTTATTACTAACCGAATGAAATCAAATTGATTTAATTTTTTATATTGTTATAAACGTGCTACCGAACGCACTAAGTTCTAGCGTATTCTAGAATGTTCTAGTGACTGGAGCATTCTAGAGTATGCTAGAATCGGACCATCTAGAAGAATCTAGAAACGACGCTTGCGAAGAGTATATAAGCGCACGTCACAAGGTGATTAGTGACATTCGTGATTAGTGAAATTCGTGATTTAATAGCGATTCGGTGAATTATTTAAAGCGATATTTGATTTGTTTGTTGACGTTGTCATAGCGATCGATTTTGAACGATTTAAAAGTTAATTGTTGCGTTAGTTTGAATTTACTGGAAATAAACGATTAGTTGATTTCTTCTGTAAATAAAGTTTAATAACTAATAATAGTTGATTTCTTCTGTAAATAAAGTTTAATAACTGTTTAGAATATTTTATTCAATCGAGGATTCGAACCCGTCGCATCGTAAATCGGTTACGACAGCGAGTATTATAACATTGGTGTCAGAAGTGGGATCTTCGACCAGCGAATTACTACTCGTAGAAAAAGAACACGATGTCAAAACTGTGTGGGTTGAACGTAGTTCAACTACGAGAAGAACTACAGAAACGAAGCCTTGTCACAAGTGGCAACAAAGAAGTACTAGTAGCACGTCTGAGAGAAGCTCTCATTGACGAAGGTAAGAACCCAGACGAATTCAAGTTTGATGGTGCTGACGAAGACAATGAAATTAGCACAGGCACGTTTACAACCGCTAAAATGATGGAACTTCTGCTTAGTATGTCAACTGAAATAAAACAACAGATCAAGGAACAGTCCGAACAGATCAAAGAACAGTCCGAACGACAGACAGAGGAGTTAAAACAGATCAAAGAACAGTCCGAACGGCAAACAGAAGAGTTAAAACAACAGATCAAGGAACAGAGCGAACGACAGACAGAGGAGTTGAAACAGATCAAGGACCAGCTAAAACACGTAAAATTGGAAGTGGCAGAACAGATTGAAGAACAGTCAACAAGAATAGAAATGATCGAACAGAAACTTGATCGTCAGACCGTTGAGGTAGATCACAAGATAGATAAATTGATGCGAGAATTGGAGCAATCCAAAAAAATGGCCATGCCGTTAGATCACGCATCCGGAATAATTTTGAAGGTACCAGCATTTGACGGAGAAATGTCCTGGAACGTTTATAAAACCCAGTTCGAAGTAGCGGCAACTAGTAACTGTTGGAACGGAAAAGAACGAGCAACAGCACTCATACTGGCCCTGCGAGGTTCAGCAGCAGAGATTCTTCAGACGATTCCGGCGGAGAACCACTTCAACTATGAAATTCTGGTTAGCGCGTTGGATTTACGTTACGTTAAGAACACATGAAACAGATTTATCGGTCTCAACTTAGAAACAGAACGCAACGATCTGGTGAATCCATTCAGCAGCTGGCACAAGATATCGAACGGTTGACATTGCTGTCGTATCCGACATCAGACCCCGAGCATAGAGACGAAACTGCCCTGGATACGTTTATCAAAGCCCTTCGTGATTCGGAACTCAAGCAATCCCTTCTCTTGTCAGATAAACGAAAACTCAAGGATGCCGTTGCGCACAGTCTCACTTTTGAATCGGCAAAGCAAGCATCAAAAAGTGACGTACGTCTACGCCAAGTACAGGAAAAATGCTCTTGCCAGAAGGTGGTTGTGAAACGCGAACCCCAACAGCATGGTGTACCCCAATGCTGGATTTGTGGTGAAAAAGGCCATCTACGTCGTGATTGTAAACACCGCCTAAAAGATAACTACTGCCGAAATTGCGCGACAAGATGGCGCAAAACAAGAGAAGATGATCCTGTATCACGATCGGAAAACTAATAAGAGCTAACTTTGTGGGGCAGAGGTTGGCTAGTAGAATTGACGCCCCACCGTAATTAACGTTTCCAGACTACATCGAAATCGAAACGACCTATGGCTGAACGGAAAAGTTGATCAACGAGAATGTGTAATTACAGTCGACACCGGAGCAACAAAATCGATTTTAAGATCTGATTTGGTACCCAATCTGAAGAAAGAGACTTCTAACAAATACATCCTTCAAACAGCTACCGGAGGAACAGCACCAGTCTATGGAAAGATTCTCCGTACTGTCCAGCTAGGCGACTTGTTATTCGAAGGTTCATTCTTAGTCGCTGACATCATCGACGAATGTATAATAGGTGTCGACTTTCTGACAAAATATGGGTTCAAAATTGACTTAGAAAAACGCATTCTTAGATGGAGAAATACAGAAGTGATAATGGGGGATAGCGACGAAAAATGCATTCGAGTAACAGTCGGTTGTGACATAAAACTAACTCAATCATCTGAAAACATCGTTTGGGGCAAGTTGAATTGCGATCCTGGGGGCCACCAGTTCTATCTGATGGAGCCAACCTCAACGACTAATGTACAGAACGCGGTCATTGGAAAATGCCTGGTAGAAGCGAACAAAAATGGTCTTATTCCTGTCAGAATAATGAATACCGCTAAACACACTATTAAAATTAAAAAAAGGCGAGGAAATAGGTAATTGCCAATCAATAAATTTGGTGAAATCATTAGATATGGACCAACTGACAAAGGTAGACTCAAAGAACTCACCAAAAATCTACTGGATGAACTCAATTTGTATCAAGAAGACCGTCTAAAAGCCGAGGCGTTGATTGCCGATTTTGCAGACGTGTTTTCAATCGGTGACAATGACCAAGGTAAAACCGCTCTGATAATTCACCGAATTGATACTCAGGATTCGAAACCGATCCGACAAGTACCACGACGTCTTCCTCTAGCAAAACAAACAGAAGTAAACGAAATGATAACGACAATGCAGAATCAAGGCGTCATCGAACCGTCATCAAGTCCCTGGATTTCGCCAGTTGTTTTGGTAAAGAAGAAGGACGGCGCTACCCGTTTTTGCGTTGATTATAGGAAGTTAAATGATGTGACTAAAAAGGACAGCTATCCATTACCGAGGATTGATGACATCATGGTCACCCTATTTGGCTCAAGTTGGTTCTCTACGCTTGATTTGAAAAGCGGATACTGGCAAGTAGAAATAGACAAGAACGATCGCGAAAAGACAGCGTTTTCTATCGGATCGGGGTTGTGGCAATTCACCGTCATGCCATTTGGATTGTGCAATGCTCCAGCTACATTTGAACAACTGATGGAATGTGTATTGCAAGGTCTTAACTGGAAAACCTGTCTTGTCTATTTAGACGACATAATTGTTCTAGGAAGAACATTTGATCAACACGTCGAAAACTTACGAGATATCTTCACAAGACTTCGGGTGGCAAATTTAAAGCTGAACGTTAAAAAGTGCAGGTTATTTTCTAAAAAAGTTAACTATTTGGGACATGTGGTATCTTCAGATGGAGTTCGAACCGATCCCAGCAACATAGAAATTGTGAAAGACTGCCCAACTCCAAAGGATAAAAATGAATTGCGCAGTTTTCTGAGATTGGCAACGTACTATCGACGTTTTGTAAAGGATTTTGCAAAAGTTGCCAGACCTCTCCACCATCTTACCGAGAAGGACCGAGTTTTCAACTGGAATACCCTATGCGACTCAGCATTTGAAAAGTTAAAAGTTGAACTATGTGATGCTCCTTTGCTAGCATATCCAGTTCGTGGCAAGACGTTCGTGTTAGATACTGATGCAAATAACAACGGAATCGGAGCCGTTTTGTCACAGCATATAGACGGAGAAGAAAAGGTGCTAGCGTATTATAGCAGAGGATTCACAAAACCCGAACGAAACTATTGTGTGATCAGGAAGGAGTTACTAGCAATAGTCAATGCAACAAAACACTTCCACAAGTACCTTTATGGACAGAAATTTCTTTTCCGAACTGATCATGCAGCGTTAAGATGGCTCCTCAACTTCAAGGATCTTGAAGGACAGATGGCCCGATGGTTGGAGCGTTTACAAATGTACGACTTCGAGATCGTGCACCGCAAAGGAACAACTCATAGTAATGCTGATGCTCTCTCACGTCGACCATGTTTATCAGGATGCAAATACTGCTGTCGTCACGAGGAGAAGATACAATCGGAAGACATAAGAGCAACAACAATATCAGCAGATGACGATTGGACACCGACGGATCTTGCTGATGCACAGTTTGCGGATGAGGACCTACAACATCTGATCACATGGAAGAAGGAGGGCAAGCGACCGGACTGGCAAAGCATCTCAGAATATAGTGCCGTGTTAAAGGGTTATTGGGCTCAGTGGGACTCTTTGTATTTGGAAGGGGATTTGCTGAAACGAAAATGGGAATCAGCTGATGGATCAAAACACCGCATGCAAGTTGTAATACCAAGAAGTAGAACGACCGAAATCCTTGATAAAATGCATGGCGGCCCTTCTGGGGGACATTTAGGAGTGAACAAGACCCTTGACAAAATACGAAAAGGATTCTACTGGCTTCACGTTAGAGAAAATGTTGAGAGCTGGTGTCGAAAATGTAACACATGCGCTTCAGTCAAAGGACCCAAAAGAAGGCTAAAAGGAGCAATGCAAATCTACAATGTTGGTGTCCCCTTTGAACGGATTGCTATAGATATTGCTGGACCCTTTTCGGTATCAGATTATGGAAACCGTTACATTCTGGTTGTAGCGGACTATTTCAGCAAATGGCCTGAGGTGTTTCCAAAACCCAACCAAGAAGCATGTACCGTCGCTGAGGAAATTGTACTCAATTGGATTAGTCGATATGGTGTCCCATTGGAACTCCACTCAGATCAAGGTCGAAATTTTGAGTCACAACTGTTTGGTGAAATGTGCAAGCTGCTGGGTATAAACAAAACTCGAACTACTGGAGAAACGCCATCAAAAGTCCTGTTTGGGACTACCTTAAGAACTCCAGCTGATGTGAAATATGGCGTACCACCTGAACCACACCAACCATTAACAGAATACGTGGATAATCTTCGACGGCGATTAAACCATATCCACCGTTACGTACGCCTTAAAATTATGAAAAACACGGAGGTGGCCAAAACCAGATACGACTCGAAAGGAAGCAGTGGCGGTTTTGCTGTCGACGAGTTAGTTTGGCTGTACAACTCACAGCGAAAGAAAGGACGTTCTCCAAAGCTCCAGCGAGGGTGGGAAGGACCTTATCGAGTCATCACCCGCTTGAATGACGTCGTCTACCGTATTCAGGAATATCGGAAGCAGAGAGCAAGAATGAAGATCGTTCATTTGGATAGACTGGCTCCGTACCATGCGGACACCGGAACGAAAGCTGTTCGGGACGAACAAAACTAAGAAGGGGGTAATGTTATAAACGTGCTACCGAACGCACTAAGTTCTAGCGTATTCTAGAATGTTCTAGTGACTGAGCATTCTAGAGTATGCTAGAATCGGACCATCTAGAAGAATCTAGAAACGACGCTTGCGAAGAGTATATAAGCGCACGTCGCAAGGTGATTAGTGACATTCGTGATTAGTGAAATTCGTGATTTTGTTAATAGCGATTCGGTGAATTATTTAAAGCGATATTTGATTTGTTTGTTGACGTTGTCATAGCGATCGATTTTGAACGATTTAAAAGTTAATTGTTGCGTTAGTTTGAATTTACTGGAAATAAACGATTAGTTGATTTCTTCTGTAAATAAAGTTTAATAACTAATAATAGTTGATTTCTTCTGTAAATAAAGTTTAATAACTGTTTGGAATATTTTATTCAATCGAGGATTTGAACCCGTCGCATCGTAAATCGGTTACGACAGCGAATATTATAACAATATGAATATAAATAAAACAACTAAATTGGACGTCAAACGAGACGAGATTAATTATAACGAGAGTTATAATTAATTGTCCAACGCTATTGAAATTGGATTGACAATTGATTTATATTAGGAATGGATTATATATGAATGAATATATATTTATATATGAAGGAATGAATGATATTTATACCCATTTATGCATATTATCAAAATTTTGCATTTTTATTTATTTAAAAAAAATCTAAACGCACCCCGTCATGTTTAGGCTCCAAATAAACTTCGACGAGCTTCTGAACGGCTTGTGGCAACTGGCAGACGAGAAATACGACGACGACGATGATGAGCATGATGGTGATCTTCTGTTGGTCTCGCGTCGCATGTTGCTGCTGCTGATGCTGGTTGGGACTGTGCTGTTGCGGATGTTGCTTCAACGAGAGTTGTGGTGGTTGGTTTGGTTGGACAAATCTGTTGTCGGTGGAATTTGGAGAATGACTTGTTATTGTGATCATTGGCATGGATTGCGACGTACATCTGTCGTCGTCGTTATTGTCGGCGATCGTGGATGATGCATTTCTTTTTATTCTGAATATTATTTTCCGTTTTTTAGGGTGCAAAAACATAGAAGTGTTATTATTTTTGTTGTTGGTGCTTTCTCTGATGTCATCGTTAGTTTCCTTATCATTATGTTCGGCGTTGTCGACACATAGTTTGTCTTTGTAGATATCTTCGTCGTGCACATCTTTGTGAGTGTTGCTGTCGTTGGTGCTATCAGAAAATTTCACATTTTTGTTCTTGCATCCAGCCGAAGTTTTCTGGCCGAAGATAGATGTTTCGGCGTTCGTTGTCTTGCTGTTGGATGCGTTGATGTTGGCTTTATTGAGGCTCGTCGTGTTGACGTTGGTCAGGATGTGCCTCAGCTTGGTTGCCTGCATGACAGTGCGGATGAGGAGGCCGTTGAAGATTATTAGGAGCAGCAGAGGGAGGAATGTGAAGAGGATCTGGCAGGCGTACATGTTTGCAATTTTTTATATACTTTTAACCATTTTTTTTCATAAATTAAAATATTTTTAAAAATGTATCTACATAAAAGAATAAAAAGAATAATTTCAATAATAATGTTCAAATCTTGTTGCAGACGTTTGAACTCGATTTGTTAAACATTATTCCTGTAATTTTAGCGCTTCCCACAACATCTTCACACATTTTTAACGACCGTATACTAACTATTGTTCTTCAAAACAGGTCTCTAAACTTGAATCTGCGTGCGAGTTAAGATATTGAAGAAGCAGGTGAGTTAGCGCCAGTGGCATGGCAGATCTAAAGGACGTTGTAGGGGGAGGGGGGCAAACTGTTAAAAATGTTTAAATTTGAAAATTTGACAAGGGGGCCGAGATAGATGTGCTAGTGTGGTCAAATTTAGGCTGGCGACTTTTTTACTCATCACGCCAGCCTCCACTAGTTACCGCCGCACTGCACTTAGATTCGCATTCCCTCTGCTTGTTGAGATATTCCACGCATTCCCTCTTACACTGCAACCAGACTTCTTTATTAACTTTTTATTTCCCACTTTTTAATTCACTGCTCAGTCGAGCGGATGATGACGCACACATGCAAACCTACGAACGTGTTGGAAACGCTGGAAGTATCTGCATGCAGTCACGTGTGAATTTAACACACGTCAGCATGTCTATAAACGTTTTTTATTTTTTATTTCTGTTCATAGAAAGATGATAAAATTGTTTTTCATTACAAAATTAATCTTTCCAGATTTTTAATCTTGTTGAAAGAATTTATAAATTAACAAACATCTTTATTCATTAAAAAGGCAGATTTTAGTTATCATAAAAACTACTTAATGTTAACGAAATCATATTTTGTAGGGTTAAGCAAGGTTGAAATAAATTAGCGTCGAAATTCATTACAACCCCGAAGAAAAAAAGGGCATGCAAATTAACAGCTACGCGTTGAACTGAGGTCCAACATTAAAAAACATTTAGAAGATTAATTATGACGAAAGATTAAATAAAATGAATTCAGCTTTGGACAATAAATCTCAACTTTCGTTAATCCTTAATAATCGGCTAAAAATATTTACAACTAAGAGTATGACATTAATTTTCATGAATCTAATTTCTAGTTTAAATTTCTTTTTACAAAAATCTACAACCAACCCACCTTGTACCACCTGATATGTAGGTGTAGGACATACCCACCCGCTATGTGGGTGTGTACCCACCTGATATGTAGGTAGGTATGTACCCAATTGGTATGCAAATATGTACTCAAAATGTCGACATAGAACTTGTTTTATTTAAATTTAAAACTTTTTTGGTTTTTATTGAACTTGTATTTTTTTATAATGAACCAGCTTGTTCAATGGGAAACCAAAATGGAAATGATGTTCCAACTTCAGCCCACAGTGGAACGTGGAAGAGATGGCGGGAAGAACAAATTTTCAACGTTTAAAACTTCGGCGTCAAATTAATTATTCTTCTTTTTCAACGTCAGCCATTGATATAAACTGCCAAATAAATACACCATTATGGTTGCAACCGATCAGATTATAGATAAATTTCAGATTTTGTTTATTTAAAAATTGTTTGAAGTTCGAGTCGTTGAGTTCAGAATATTTTGAGGAAGACAAAATAATCCAAACAGAAAATTATATTTCAAATTTGAATTATTTACGGCATTTACTAAGCAGATGGGCACATACCTATACACCAGGTTGGTACATGCGAACACATTATTCATACACACATACATACATACATACATACCCAGTGATCATATAACTATGTGGCAAGTGGGTACATACCAGGCAGAAACATACATACCTACATACCAGATGGGTACATACCTACATACAAACATAGCATAACATATATACATCATCAAACGCTATCGCGCATTTAATTATGAGGGGTTGCGTGTCGTTAGCTGTTGTTGATTGCCATGAAGACGCGCGTTTCTTTGCGCAGTGCTCACGCACGACATGAAGTTTCACGCTGCGTCTGTTGGGTTGTTATTGAATCATTGTCATTCACGAGTGATGTGATTGCTGCTGGGATGTGTGGTGGCGTCAGGTGTCAGATGATGGTGATGTAGTGATAATGATGATAACTATGTGATGATGATGATGTACTGATGATGATGATGATAGTAGTGATGATGATGGCGGTAATAGTAGTGATGATGATGATAGTAGTGATATGTCTGATTTTGTCTTGATATAGTCCAAGATATAATATTGATATTTAAATAAACTCGTAAATGTTGGAAGGAGGTCACATTTAATGCAGTATTGTAGGAATTCTCCAACAATTTGGTGGAGTTCATACAACATACATATACAGTAAAAGTCCTCTAGAGCGGGACCATAAAGGACGACCAGATAAGAGTAACGGACAGTATTGCTTGGCACGGAACCGTTTTGCATGTTAAATAGACCCTAAAGAACGGACATTTTAAAGGAACGAACTACGGACAGGGTTTTAAGTACAAATTGACTTTTATGTCTTAAAGAGCGGACAATTTATAACAAAAACACATGGAATATTTGATAAAATGCGCCATCTAATTTGAATATTTGTATTTATTCTATTCTATGGAATGCGCTAAAGAAACTTTGATAATCTTTGGTTATTTAAAAAAAATTATTTTCGCTCTTTGATTTTTTATCGTGGTCGTGTTGATAAACTGTTGTGTAATAATGGAGTCGACTCTGCGAAAAAAAATTTTAAACTTGGAAGAAAGAATGCTGGTGGTGAAAAAATTAAATGATGGAGTTAACATACGAAAAATTGCTGAAGAATTTGGTTGCGGAAAAACTCAAATTGCAAATATTCGTGAAAATAAAGAATCATGAACAATTTGAAGTCCAAGATGATGAAGAGGAAGAAGAGGCTCCAGTCCAAGGAGTTTCTACAAAGATGGCATTACAATGTGCCAGGAAGCTAACTTCCTATTTGATACATATGGGCAATAGAGAATTGTTACAATTTTCTGAGAACATTGAAAATATTTTAGAAATTGAATTGTTAAAAACAAAATGTTTTGGCAAACAGACAACTATGAATGATTTTCTTCCATAACAATATTAAAAACGTGTTGTTTTATTTTAATTTTTTATGTAGTATATCAAAAAAGATTTTGATGTTGAGTTTTGAGGAGAGGACAGTTAAGAGGAGAGGACAGTTTGGTCATTCCCCAATAGTGTCCTCTCTAGAGGACTTTTACTGTATAACCATTTTTTACAACTTTTTCAAAGTAATTAAACTAAGCTAAAAAAAATTAGTCAAACTTAGTTAAACTTTAATTACTTTCCCTCAAAACTTTTTTTCAAAAAAGATGTCCTAATCATGGCATGACTGCTTAATTTTACAACCACCAAACAATTTTTATTCATAAAAAAATGAAACAAACATAAAGTGTTTCCAATGTCAGTCAGAGAACAAGAACGTATAAAAAGAAGAATGCCTAACATTTTGCATCTTCTAACTGTCAGAATTTGTGAATGTTCGTTCAACAACTGCAAATCTATAAAAAATTCGGAGTTGGTTTTTAAAAATTGAGAGACATAATCTGAGTCTGCAGATCCGATCATCGAAACGACAAAAGAGGGGCACTAGCAATGATCTGAATATCGTCTGAAGGACCGTGATGTTTGAAATTACTTCTCAATGATTTTGAAGATATCTGCAGTGTAAAACACTAACAAGAACGTATGACTGTGGAGGACCGTGTGACACAGTTTCAACGTGTGTCAAGTTAGAGCTGAACAGAACCTATTGTGTACGATCAGAATGATGACTCAATCCATTGAAGAACAGCATCCGATACTCCAAATGAATATTATATATATATATATATATATATATATATATATATATATATATATATATATATATATATTTGTTTAATATTTTTATAAATGATGTTGCTCTTAGCTCCAACTTGGCTAAATTTATTTTGTATGTGGATGATACAACTATACTTTTAAAAGGCACAAACTTAGCTGATCTAGTTGTTGATTGTAATCGTGAGCTTGAACTGGTCTATCAATGGTTCACAGCAAATAACTTAAGAATTAACATAAAAAACCTTATTTTCTTTTATTCGGACCAACAATTAATACCAGTTCGGTCGACCCTATTATTTACTTTACTTTACTTTTGTTAGAATGCACTCAATAAAATTTTTAGAAATAATTATTTCAAGCAACCTAAATTGGTCAGAACATATAACTTATATAGCTAATAAAGCGTCGAAAATTATTGATGTATTATATAAACTAAGACATGAATTACCAAATAATATCTTGATCTCCTTATACTATTCTCTTCTGTCTCCACTCCTCACGTACTGCAATGCAATTTGGGGTAACAGTCCAAATTGCCACATAAACCTTTTGCAAAAAACCCAAAATTATTTTATAAGAACTTTATACAAATTAAATAGACGCGACTCGACCAAATCGTTCTGTCATTTAAATAAAATCTTAAACATAAAACAAATATATATAGTCCGATTAACATCCCTTTTTTATAAAATTGTCGTAACTAATCATTTTCCAATATAATTCTAAACTTTTTAAATTCGAATCCTTATTCATTAAGAAGAAATTTTGACTATCAATTACTAATCTGGCATACCAAAACTTATTGAAAAGTTTTGAAACAATGCAAAAATATTGTACGTAGTTTTTGTTTTAATAAAATATAAAAAAATATTTATCGATTTGTTTTTCAAAAACAAAAAAATTTCTTTTACGCATAAGATTAAAAAAACCATAGCACGCATATTATTATCATGGTCATATTTCACAAAATATTCACCAAAGTTTTATATCATCATTCTTCAAAATCTTGAATCATCATCGTCATCATCATAAACTTCATTATCGTCATCATCATCATCATCGCTCAATTTGTCGTTGCAAAGGATGTTTGTGTGATTGAAATGAAAACATTTGAGTGACACATCATCACCATCGTCTTGTTGCAATAACTGCGTTCCCCATAAAATATTTGGCATCTGTGATTGATGGTTGAGATGATGAGACAGACATCCATCAGCTACCGCACCATCACCCATCATCGCGTGACTTATGACTCTGCAACGCCATTTCATTTGTGCCATCCATCTCTGCCATGCCTTCCTTATCAGATAATTATCCACACGATCACGCCAATTATTATTCTTTTCGTTTTTTATGTTGTTTCAAATATTTTCAAAATGTTATTATTCAAATGTTAATTATTATTTATTCGCTGATCAGAAAACGATAGGTAAATTTTAGATTTGCAACTGCCAACAAACTCAAACCTGGCCTCATTATTAACAAATACTTTAAGTTTTAATGAGATAATTCATTCATTGGACGGTCTGATGGCCTGATGGTTAAAGGCGCTGGTCCTACCTGGCAGTGACAGGGTTCGATTTCTAGGATGTCCCCACCAATCACATCCAAGAAGTGTGATGAGCGGTTTCAAGTGTATGTGTGTTAAAAAATAAATATTAAATAATAATAATAATAATAATAATAAAAATAATAATGATAATGATAATAACGTTATAGTTGCAAACACAATTTTATTTTTATTACATCGCAATTATTTTAATACAGTAATGTTATGATTGATCTCTGCATGGCAATCAAAGACTGAAGCCTGGCCTACAATCGCATGGCGTTGTGGCCGGTGGTAAATCGTAGGCTGGTGTTCTTGATGGGAGTATTGTGTGATGGAGTTGTGTAGCTGCGTCATATGGTGATTCTGTATGCTGGAGTTATGTGTTATCACGTATCGGCATTATTATGCGCTTGGTTTGCAATAGACAATAAAAAATTATCGTAGCCAACATTGTTCATAAAGTTGGAGAATGGAGCAGGAAGTTTTTAATAATCCATTGAGGGAAAGATTTCATGCCTCCATCCGTCAACATTATAATTCGATTCGTTTCAATTGAATGCAGGCCGGCACACCGAGCTTTACATTCAGTCAACTTTATTGATAGCCTTGCTAAGGAAAGAAACGTGCTTATTAAAATTCCACTCTGTGCTTGCATTGACTTCATTCGTTCGTTTCATTCAAATTAAATTAAAAATCTTGAAACAAATAAAAAAAAATTACATTTAATTTTCAAACTTTTTTCTATATACAGCGAACCCGATTTTTTAAAAGGATGTTGAAGTCGGATTATTATATTAAAATAATTCAATGAGTGTCATATTCGCATTAATAGCACGAGTCCGTCTGCGATGTTTGCCGTGAGATAACGATGTCCTTGTTTGCAGAGCCAACCGCAATCTGCTGGCAACCTTCTAACTTCCACTATTCTTGCATCAATTCTTCAGTGTAATGGAACGTTGAGAAGTCAATGACAGACAGCACCATGAGCCATGATGTGCTGATGTCCTCATGTTGCACAGTACAAAAGACAGATTATCTCAGATGATTTATTAAGACTCAGTGAGAGATTGCTCCGTTTTGATCAGGTGAGAAGTGGGACCGGTTCAGGTTGGATAGAGCTGCTTTGAGGGAGGAAGTGGTTCTAAAATGGGATGTTTTTTAGGATAAGATGGGATGAATAAACGAATGAATGAATGTGTGACGCAACGACTGAAAATAAAGACTAGCGTGATGAGTTGGAAGGAGCCTGGTGGGAGACCATCCAACCCAGTATCTTCTACCACGTGGAAGGTCTCGATCAAATGGTGTAGGACTGTTGTGGTGTTGTACTTTTGTTGTTGCTGACAATGATTAATTGTAAATCAAAAACAGTTTTATTGGTTAGTAGACATGGAAAGTAGACATGGAAGCCAAACGTCTGTGCCGTGAGAGTCCCTTTCCTTGACTTGAATAAACTTTTTTTGCTACTTCATTGATGAGACTTTCCAGAATTTATTGAAGAGGATTGTAATTAAGGGTGAAGTTATTTTTAAATCATTTTTTTAAATTTTTTCCCATTTTTTCAAATTTTTTTTTAATTTTTTTTTTGTAAAATTTTGCTTTGCTGTCAATAATTTAAACTTAAATTTAAAAACAAAGCTTTTAATTTTTGTTAGATAATTGTTTAATACATCACAAAACCATGAAATAATTATTTAAATGTACTTATATTTCTTCAACAAAATGTAGCAGGAACGAAACTCGGCGGAACGATGGCGTTGAATGTTGACGTGTGAGCAGTGAATCATCATGGAGTGATGCGCTGACTCGGGGTTGTGCTGATGCTTTTCCAATTTTATTGAATTCGGTCGACAAATTTTTATTATTTGTATGCAAAGACAAGTTATTTTTTCATTTTATGAAAAATTTTCATACTTACTACTTTCAAAACATCGAAAAACAAGATATGTATTACCTATTCACCGTATCTGAAGCAGTTACTGAAGATTTTAAAATTTTCTGTCTCCGCATGTTCATTTGGGTCCGCGTCTGCAACTTGTGGCGAAAATTAATTTTTTTTAACTATTCAGCAAAATATCAGTTGAGGAAGTTGTGAGGTCACAAAATTTGGGCTTTAATGACTTGTTTAATGTGCCTGTCTCTTAGTGATTAAAGAGCTTATGAGAAAGGTGGACGAAGAAGGAAAATATGCAGAATCACATGACAAAAAAAGCAATTGAGATACACACACAAACAAACAAATAAGATATACACACACAAACAGTTAAGACACATACACAAACCAACAAGATACACACACACGCACGCACACACGCGCAAACAAATGAAGTACACACACAAACAAACAAATTAGATACACACAAAAACAAATATAGCAAATGATATATATTTACCCGAGGAACAAAAATGATATATACACACAAACAAAAAACACAGTGAATGCTTGAATTTTTAACAGGAGTGATATTGTGAATAGAGGAAATATTACTCAAAATATAAAATATAATACTCAAAAATTCACTTTTGAAAAGGAAGAAACTTCCATCTTAACCATGGAAGAACATAAAACACAGAGTAGTCGTTGCAACAGTAAAACACATTTATGAAGGCTCTCCAAAACACGTGATCATTCAACTATGATTCGAAACACGTAGCAGGTCGGTGTATCAGTATCCATCATTGTCCAGTCTTCAACGTTATACTCTGTGTACATTTTTAATCAGCACCAGGCAATCTCAACGATAAATCCAAATAAGAACGAAGAAGAAACTTTAGCATTATTTATCTGAGGCATTACGATCATGTCTACATTCAAACTTATGCGCTGTGAGGCAGTGTTCCCAGCACCAATGTAAGCAGCGCTCCAGAGGCAAACTGATTTATCGCATGCATAAAAATGCTTTCATACATTTCATATTTTTCTGCCTGTTACAGCTTGAACACACATGAACACGTCTGTCGTTCATCTAAGTTTCGTTGTTTTTATTTAGATCTATTTTTCCTATGTGGCACCTAATAATAAACAACAATATTTAAAAAAATGAAAATAAATTAGCTAAAAATTATAAAATATAAATTTGTTCAACGATCGAAACACATCACATGAAATAATGTTGATCAATAAACGTCAACAAATGCATGGATGATGTGGAGCAGTACTTTTCAAAGTTGATTTTGATTTCAGCCACCACCAAAAAATGATTTGAATCAATTTTTGCGGATCTATATACATACAATAGTTTTCTTTATCAAGGTCAGCCACTTTTTTCGAGTTATTATGTAGTCGAACCTGCTTTTTGCTCGTCTGATGAAACCCATGTAGTTTTCCTACTAGCTGTTTACATGAATTGTATGTTTGAAATACAAAGGTCGTTCTAACCACACAATTCAAACATGGATTTTTAGCGTGTTGCTACATATTTCAAAGTTGTTTCCCATCTAACGTTAAAATCGCCCATGAGGAGTAGTAAGTACATCATGCCTTGGTGTATCGTTCAGTTCCATATGCAGCTGGTTGTAGACATTGTTTTCTTATTTTTCTCAGCTAGCTTTAAATACGTTGACACCAGCAGGTTTAAATTAGCCATGTCTTATAGAAAGTTAAAAAATTTCCACTTCAAGTTTCTTCGCGAGACTCTGAGTTGGTTCTTCATCGGCGTTTTCTCTTATTGTCAGGGTTTCAGATGCCATATCAGGATTTTTCATTTTAGCTTCATATGTTAGCTAGAACAACATGCACACTACTAATCTGAAATTTACTTTGATACCTTCTATATTAATTTACCAACGAGTAGCATATAAAAATTGATGCAGCCATATTCTAGCGAGTATCATGAAAGTATTTTTAACGAATTATTAATATGGAAAATAAATTTTCAAAAAATAATTTATGAATTAGATTATGAAAAAAGTTCAACTAAATTTATTTTCAACTTGTTATTATAATTAAAGTGTATTTGGTGCTGGAGTTTCAGCTAGCGTTAGGCTGCTCCAGTTAGCAGGTGCAACTGGGCATCACCCAAGAACACGCCACACATACAGATCGGCACAGTTTGTAACTTGGCTTCATTGAAACTGTCAGTGTAAACAGCGCTTTCCCTTTATATTAACTTAGACATCAATATTTTATTTCACAACACATAGAGTGAAGTTTCATATTTTCTAACTTTTTAACACTTCCAAATCTTTTAAATATTTAGCTGAAAATAAAATTTATTTTCATTTTGTGATTTTGTTTATCACCAACTAACTCAGTTGAATTTCAGATCCAGCAGAGTATTAAGATAGTTATTGCCACGCTATTCAGCAGTTTTGATATTACCCAAAGCGAGGTAAGCATCAACACATTTATCAACCATGTATCTTCGTAATGTTCAAAAATAAAAATGATTGATAGCGCGTAAATCAAGTCAGCCAATGCAACAAAAAACACTGCTACAAATTGTTCCGAGACGCCGTGACTAACCATTCAACAACACTAGGATATCAAGTTAGACCCAAGAGCTTTAAAACAAATCATTTTTTAAATGCGACACAAACCACAACTGCCATGCAACCTACCTACTAAGTTGAATTTGCGTGTGTGAACAAAGTTTAATCTTAAAAGTTGTCTAGAAGCCGTGCTCTTCATTTATTTGTCATCTGATTGAACGTTTGATCGATGTTGACGATGTTAAAAGTTGTAAATGTTGCAGAGAAGATGATGTGGAGAGTGAGGCTGATGTAAGGACGATGCGCATGTTGACACTAGAGGCTGTGCAGGACCAATGAGTGTTACACATTTTTACGTTGATGGCTACGATGTAAAATTATAAAATTTTGTAAGGATTCATTTTGTAATGGTCACCGAGTTAGCTCAGTCGGTAGAAATGCTATGTCTCATGCTGCTTTTACGCGTTTGCATGATTCGAATACTGTCCTTCCAAAACTCAGACAATCATACGCATATGATGAGATGCTTGGCACAAAGGTTTTATTAAAAGTATTGAAAAAAGTATTGAATAATATGTAAGCAGTCCTGCGTTTGACTGGGCTGCATTGCAAGGGATAAAAAAAGAAGATTCAGTTTGATTATTATCAGCATGTAAGAGAATGTTTATTGAAAAGTGACGGATAGGTTCGTCTTGTGTGTCAAAGGAAATTTTTCCAATAAAGTTTTTCACAAAAAAGCCAGATGACCCTAATGGTTGTGCTGTTGAGAATGAACGCAAATTGCGAATGCATGCGGTTCGAAGATGTTGAAATGCCCATTCAAAGGTGAATAACTGCAATACATGACTTGAAAAAGCTAGCGAACCTTTATCAACGAACGTTCAATTTTATATAAAAAATGTCGGAAAAATAAAAAAATTGTTGTAAATTAAATGTTTTTATGGAATAAAAGATAATTGTGAGTTTATAATAATATTTAGTATCAATTGATGGTCGGCTAGTGTCAGGGTTAGTATTAGGGAACATTTGCTGACTTTATGTTCGCATATTTGATACTGGAGCAATTTATTTTCAAAAAATATTTTTTAAATTAAGTGAAGGCTCGTTGGTTAGTATTGCTTCAAAAACAATTGTTACTTTGATCTTTTCATGTTTCATTTTTATCGGCATTTAATTTTTACCCATTTTCGCCCTCTTAAATAACAATGTGTTGTTCTTTTGTTCGTTCAATTGTTTGTTCAATTGCTTGTTTGTTTGTTCAATTGCTTGTTTGTTTGTTTGTTTGTTCAATTGTTTGTTTGTTCAATTGTTTGCTTGTTTGTTTGTTTGTTCATTGGTTTATTTGTTTGTTTGTTCAATTGTTTGCATTTTACTTGATAAGTATTTAAAGCATAGGACGCTGAACAGAATAACAGTTTTATGTTCCTAATAGAATGTTCTCCGTGAATGCATTTGCCTGTATTATCTCTGCGAAGCTTTTTTCAAACAATAAAAAAATAATTCAATAATATCATTGGACGTTCTGACATATCTGAAAGCAGACGAACGACCCATCACTCACTGTCCCACTTGCTTCTGAACCTACAGAATGCCTCGTAGAAGCATTTTATTAACATTTTTCAATAAATTAATTGTTTGGTGATTGTCAAAAACCAAACTTAGAACTTGTATGAAACGAGGCAATCACTTTCCTGCTTGTGATTAAACGCAGATCGAGGCACTTCATTCAAGATATCAGCAGCCCTGTTGGCGTGTCATCAAATCTCACTGATTGCATGACTCTATGAATGAAAACTTCATTGAAAACTTGTGCTCACCATGAATTCTCCTACTCAATCAGCGAACACAAAAATCAATTCGATTTTTTAAAATAAATTTTACTAAAAAAAATTTTAAACTTGTACTTCGTAACAAATTTTTTATGAAATTTAAAAATGAGCTGGGCCATTGCAAACTGCTTTCATTTAATTATTAATATTAACGATGAACAACTTTTAATTAAAATTAATTAACATGTTTAAAAAATCAATTTAACTTGAAAATCAATTTCGAATCTATAAAAGCGGAATAACTTCTTAGAATTCGTGTGAGATCCCGTAATGAAAAAAATATGATTGACAAGTTTAAACTTTATTCATTACTATGGTTTTGAAAATAACGATGACTGATATCAATAATAATGACTAATGAGAAAAATTACTTTTACTTTTTCTTGAAAGCCCAAAAAAATTTAACAACAACCCATGCACGCGTGCGTTTTTCATAACGTCATCCTGCCTCATGTACGCACACACTGCCGTACATGCGGCAAAATGCATACAAAATATAAGATAGAATCCCAGACACAACAAACCTGATTCATTTTATAGTAGCCGAGACTTTTAAGCAGGTTGGCCACCACCTCCCGATCCGTTACGTTGCACCTTGTAACGTTCTGCTCCAACCTCGACGAATAGTAACTGTAGTAGGAAGCTTTCTTCTCGAAAAACTCAGGCAGGGTGAGGAGGAGGGCGACGGTGAAGACGACGCCGACGAGCTTCCTGGCCCTCTCGCACGTGCACCAAATTCGTCCCTTGATTGGGTACTGGACCCCGATGTACCTCTCGAAGGTGAAGGTCACAGTGAGCCATACGCCCGTGTTGCTGCAGACGTCAGTCAGTGGTCGACCATAGGGCATACGGTAGTGGGTGTAGGAGGCTGAAGCTTTGCGAGCAAGTTGAAATAATTCTCATTAACGTCAGGCAAACATTTTTCAATTGATTTTTCCAATATTAAAATATTTTTCAATAAATGTTTTCAATCAAATTGCTTCAAATGGTCGTACAACAAATAATAAGTTGAATAGAAATTTCAATTCATCATTGTCATCTAACTTTAATTAACTTTAATATTTGGTGAATGTTTTTATTTTTAAAATATGTTCAATCTAACTATAAGCTAAAGGATTCTATAAAAGTATTATTGACCATTTGACTTTTTATGGAGAGTTGCGACGACGATGAAGTTACTTTTACGTGAAATCAAACAAAAATGAACATGGCAGGATCTCAGCGTGTGTTGTTGTTTCAGAAAAAATGATAATTTTGTAAAATTGTTTGACCTGCTCATTGCTTACTATAACAAGTTTTTTTCGATGCAAGGATCTTCCATATTAGCATACCTTCTACAAACCGCATGTCTCACAATATTTTTCTATTTATTGCATCCTCGTCATGTGACAAGTAAACAACAACAACAACAATAACAACAACAACAACAACAACTACTACTACTACTACTACTAGTACTACTACAAAAACATCAACAATAGCAATAACCACAACAACAATAACAATAATAATAATTGGCACCAACTGAATACATCAACTGGCACGACAGAGCGACAAGTTACATCCATTGGGGTGCTGATGTTGAAGAATATTATGAACACAAAAGTGTATCAAATTTATTTTTATAACAACAACTACTACTGCTACTACTACTACTACTACCACTGCTGTTGTTGCCACAGCTGCAACAACACTAAAATAAATTGTAGAAAAATTGTTAAACGGTAGAAGTCAGGCAGACGTGGGATGTAACTGCAATGACAGGCAAAACATTAATGGCGGGACGACCAGATATTGTGTATTTGAATGAAAAACAAAAACAAAAATATGCTTTCTGGTTGAGATTCCAGTACCAGATGATAGAGATGTGATAGCGAAAAAAAATTAAAAAAATTTTAAATATCGAGATTTATAAAGTGAAATTTGAAAATGTGGAGCATACAATCGAAAGCAATGCCAGTAGCGGCTGGTGCAGTGGGAGGAACTGGGATAGAACAAGTGGAAAGGTACGAAGAGGCACCCGGAGGTACAAAAATTCGCACTGTTGGGAATTCGCACTGCCAACATACTGTGAGGACAGTGCTCGGATGAAGTCTCGAAGTTTCTAGGTGAAACTTGGATCCATCTACAACTCCAGCTTAGAAAAGCCGTGTGACTCAAACATAATAATAACAAGTTAACACTAGAAGAATAAGAAAAATATTATGTCAATGTTAATTAATGACGATCAAAAAAAAAATATTTTAGATACGAAATTATTTTTTCACAGCCAGAAATTGAAATATAGATTTGTTGGAAGACAACAAAATAATTTTAATGAGTGAATAGAAAGAATTTATTCAATACGTTTCTATGTTTTTGCAAACAGATTCGCGTGTCCGGTGTTGTAACAAACACGTTCACCGATCATTGTAGATTAGCTGAATTGAAAGTGCTTAATCAGTGGCCATGCCCCTCTCCATTGTGAGCAGTATTTTCAATTAAAATCAGTAAAATTGAGTTTTTGCTCAAAAAACACTATTTTATGTAGATTATCGACAAATCTCGATTCCTCGTCCGAATGTACAAATTTTAAATTTTACCCCCCACTCATTAAAGTTGTCTAAATTTGCCACGGCGTCTAACTAATTAATTGCCATCCTCATGTACAGTTTGTGGGGATGAAAAACTTAATCAACTAAAAATATTAAAAAAATTATTTTTAAAAATAATTCCTTTGAAAGCTATTTCGTCAATGTGGCAACTATTCTGATGATGACTCAATGGAGTGCACACTACAATGCAATAATTTTATACGGAAATTTCTTTCTTAACATAATGATGAAGCAAATGGACTCATGCCAAAAGTTTTGGCCCACAATAAGATCCAATTGTTAAATAATCAAAATAAAATAAATGTATATGGAATGTTAAAAATAAAAGAGATGTAAAAATAAACATTACCCAATCACCAACCCCGTTTGGGGTCATAAACACATTCATTATCTTTCATAAAAGATTCAGATCCTATTTTGAATGCATTCACACCATCAGCATTCACAACATTATTCCGCAGTGCCATTATCCTATTTGAGAATCATTCCTTCTGAGATTCTTTTTGAAAAACACGTATCCAGTTTCAAATTGTGTCCTCTCGTTCTCACATCTCCACGCGGATGCAGATTGGATTGCACACATCTCCGTCTTTCTTCATCGTGTACACTCTATCTAGTCTCTTTCATCACACTGTTTAACTTTATACAAAATTTCTTTTAAGAAAAAAAATTTTTTATAAAATTATCAAAACAACAGGAGGCAGATGTTTACAATTAGAAACACAAACACAATTAAAAAAGCAATGGAATAAACAAGGCGCCACCATACGAAACCTAAAATACGTCTCTGCATGTGAACGGGCACCAGACACAATGCCGCTTCATATTTATTACATAATCAATACAATGCACGTTAATAAATATTATACAATGCTCACATTATTGAAACTGACTCGCTTGTGAGACTGAGACGCACTGCTATGTCTACAGCACACTCATTAAAGCTTCAACATCTTACGTTATTATCATTCTTGAAGAAACAACCTCATGCATAAAATTGCGCGCACCCGAGTGCTGAACATGTACGCGGTGCACGAAGATGCCTGCCTTTTATTGTTTCCAAGCGTTAGGTCTTCTTTGAATTCAATTGTTATGCCCTTTTGAAAATGTCATTCTCAACAATTTAAAATGATAAAATTAAAAACATTTCAACAATTAATAAGATAAAAATTTAACAAAATAATAATTATAAAACTTGTTTTTCATTGAACAATCATGCATGCAAATAAAAGCACAAGATGTTTTTCATTTCCCGGGTGACCAGCTGCTTGCTATTTTGACGGCCATAACTGCCCAATAAAATGATCATGATGCGGTGCGATGTTTGTCTGCCAGCAACGCTGATCCCTCTCCAATGGATATTTTGTAGTAACTGCTGGTGATGATCAGGCGCTGTTGGTCATCGTACAACTTAAATTAAATAATGTGGTAGCAGTTGCATAAAGTTAGCTCAATTATATCTTAATTATTGATGCTATTCATGCGGAAACAGCGCGAGGTTTTATGTTCTGAAAGCGTGCAGAGTATCTTGATCGTAATAATTTGTGTTTGTGTTTGCACTCTGCCATGAGAGTGTCCATGCAGTCAGTTTGGTAAACAATTTCATCAAAATTTAATTCATATTTTTTTCATTCTCATCGAACATTCCCCCGTAGTGATTCACAAGTTCTTGAAATTCTCATTCTCAAAAAACTGTTTGCACGAATTCTATCCTACATAGGTACAAAGTTTTTAGTTGAAGTTAAAGTGAAAAGTTATGCACAGGCGTGCAGCTGTTCGCTAAGAAAGCAACAAAGCAGGACGTAACGTAATTTTTTATTTGGCTTGAAAACTCGAGTTTATTTTGATAAAAACGTATAATTTGAGAAATAAATTAAAGAAACGTGAATTATTATCATGCGTAGGCAAATAGGGGGAATGACGTAACGACAGGATGTTGCTGATTCGTCGTTAGAGATAAACATGCAGCAGTAAATGCAAAGGAAGAGATTTCCATAAATGATTTGTTGCGCGATTAAAATCAAGTTGAAACATTTGTATCGGGGCCAGCAATTAAGCTGTCATGTTCCGTCCTGACAAATTGCTTCTGTGGACGCAAGAATCTCTACTGTTTTGAATGTATGCATGTATTATACACTATTTAGCCAGCAACTTAGACTTTCAACTTTATAACAATAATTTTATGATCATTTTTTGAAGTTTACTAAGTTGATGAACAAAATTTATGCGAGTCTTATGTTGGCACAGTTTACGTAAGAAGCTTTTTTTGATAGCACACACACCATCAGTGTATTAACGATTGAATTAGCTTGAGTTTATTGCTTTTGCATAGTTTTGTTTACAGTAAAGTTTTGTTTATGAACTCCAAAAACCGAGAAATGATTATAAAATCATTGTTAGAAAAATTGAAAAGCCATCTTCTTGTATACAACAACAGCATGATGCAGAAAAACGGGTGATATAAATCAACATTCTTTTAAGTTGTGCATCAGGCTTACTCAAAAGTGTTTAATAAATTCACATTGAAAAACAACACACAAACACACACACAAACTCTCACACACAAATACATATATATATATATATATATATATATATATGTGTGTGTGTGTGTGTGTGTGTGTGTGTGTGTGTGTATGTATATATGCGTATTATATATATATATATATATATATATATATATATATATTGTAACAGACTGTTGTTAACGCAACATTTCAAAAATTCAACACTACTTTCAACATTGTTCAACTTTTTTATATTTCTTTTTAATTTATTAATTTTAGAGAAATTAGACATTTTATTGTTTTTTAAAAATTTTTATTAAATAAATT